ACAACCTATTTATAACTGGAAGAGGGATGCCGTAATCCGAGTTATAAAATAGTTGAAGGTAGGTAAATGACGATTTACCAATTTCCACCATGAAAAACGAAATAATGTAATTAGGTTTTTAATTGGATTTGAAACTCCTAGATCTTTTGAGATTCATTGAACTTTTCAATGGCATGTTTCAATCTCGAGTGTGCCCTTCAGGTTTTGTGACTGGGATGCCGAGGATCACAAAACAAGGTGTGAAGTAACCATGCAAATATACTTGGTACCCTTAATATTTACCCCTCAATCGATGTACCGGTTAACCACACGAGCTCCACCGATACTATGATAAATATTAAGTTACCCTTTGCCTACTTTGTTAAATCCAGGTTAGTGTGTCGGTTAACCACACACGCTCCACTAACGGTTTAAACAAAGTGCAAAGTGTAATTTCATGGATTAGCACCTTATTCACATTTTCCTAAGTAACTAAGATTGGGAATTTATAAGTGTTTAGTTACTTAGTATTTATCATTAATACTTTTAATGAAGGGAGAATTATAGTCCTTGTCCTACCCGTTCGGCTAACGACCCTCCACCAGTCAAGGAAGCGGTGGGTGAGAGTGGACACCCATTAAACTGCCATTTTATAAGAAGTAACCTTATACCCCCCTTATAGACCGGCTTCGTGAATGAGGCCTACTAACGGTAAGACTGACTTGCTCTTATACATATATTTATTATTAACTTATAATACTATAAAGTATAAGGGTTGAATTTTAACTTTTAAAATTCTAAGGGCTAACTTGGAATTAAAGTATTCATGGGGAAAACTTTACAAATTCCAAAACTTGAGGGCAAGTTTTGAAAATATTCAAAACTAATTAATTCCATAACTTATGTGTTTAAAGTAGTTTTAATTAAAAAAACTCTTCAAGTTCCATAACTTGAGGACAAGTTATGGAAGACTTTAAACTAATAAAAGAATGTAACTTTTCTTTATTTTTGTAACTTATGGAACTAATTAAGGTTACACATTTTATCATTTAATGAAGTGACTCTTGAACCTCCATAACTTGAGGACAAGTTATGGAGTCATAAAACCATTTAATGAGGACAAGACTCTTCACTTTTGTAACCATTGCCAACTTTTTATGAGTTTTATTAAACTTAAATGTGACTTTTCATATAACTTGAGGACTAGTTACAAAAACACATTTTAGAATCAACTCTTAGATTAAAATGGATTGAAAACACATAATCAATTAACTTTTCTATTAATCTAAGAAACTCATATGAACAAAGATAATTCACATCAAATTTTTTTCAAGTAATTAGCATAACTTTTAAACTAATACAAAACATGAATCTATTGACAATTATCTCTGAAATTGGATTAGCATGAACATTACCACATCAAAAACAAGTTTATAAGTCCAAAAACATCTAAGGGTAATGTTCCTAGTCCATTTCTAGCCAAAACAGTCGAATATATGCTGTCAGGGGTTCCAAAATTCGATTTTTCAGCTAATTTTGCAAGTATAACAAGAAAACAAGCCTTGGCTCTGATACCACTGATGATTTTTGAGCATTCTAACACTCCTAAGTGTACATGCAACCCTAAATACCTTGGATCTATGTTTTCTCTATTATACATGCAATTATGAACTTTCCAAGGTATTACCCTATCTAGCATACAATACTTGATACTTGGGTAATCAAATGGATAGAATACATACCTTTGTTTGATGTAGCTTGTCTCCATGAAGCTTGAGTGCCCAGTGCCCCAAGTGTGACACCTCAAATGGTTCACACAACACCAAATGCACATGGAATGACTTGAGAGAAATGGAACACTCCTTGAAATCGTCTAGCCCTCATATTCACACATTAGTGCACGATTTCTTGAGCCATGGGATTCTTTTATATGGTGGCTATTAGGGTTACACCATATAACTCATAACTTTACCCATTCCTTATGCTCCATGGATTTTAACCTCCATGGAGTATCCATGGGTCACCCCATGGACTTAGTCCAACATAAGGAATCTTGGATCACAAGCCCACATATATAAGAATGAATGATTTACACAATCAACCCATATATTTAATTAGTCTCCTTTTGATCACTTAATTAATTTCAAATTAATTCTTGATCAATACTAATTAAATAACCTTATTAATATATTAGAACTTATAATATATTAACCAACCTTAAGTGTTATTTCTCTCATTATAGTCTATCCAAATGCATGATGCCATGCAACCCAAATGGACCATGCCGGGTCGGGTCAAGTCTTACCAATTATAGTTATGGACTTAGACATTAATCCAACAATAACATTCCACTACTTAATCAGTTTAGTAGTTTCTGAAAAAATGAATGTGCAGCTCTAGATGTGGTCACAACCTATCTCTATGGGGATCTAGACATAGAGATATAAATGAAAGTCACTGATGGAATTAAGTTGCTTGAATCAAGTAGTTCCAGACCACGGAACACGTTCTCGATAAGACTGAGATGTTTATTTTGTAGATTGAAACAATCTGGGCAGATATGGTATAGCCGTCTAAGTGAGTACTTTATCAAGGTGGGATATTTTAATAACGAGATATGCCCATGCATGTTTATTAAGAGATCTGATTAAGGATAAGCGATTTTCGCAGACTATGTAGATGATATGAATCTCATAGGAACCTCGAAAGAATTGTTCGAAACTGCTGAAATCCTGAAGATGGAATTCGAGATGAAAGATCTTGGGAAGACACGGTATTGCCTCAGCCTATAGATGGAGCACCGTAAAGATGGGATTTTCCTCCATCAAGAAAACTACAACCAAAAGGTGTTGAGATGCTTTAGTCATTATGATGCGAAGTCGTCATCTACTCCCATGGTCGTTCGTTCTATAGACATTAAAAAGGACCCATTCCATCCAAAGGAGGAAGATGAAGATATATTGAGTCCTAAGTGTTCATATATGGGTGCAATAGGCGCATTATTGTACTTGGCCCAATATACTAGACCAGACATCTCGTTTGTTGTGATCTGTCTTGCTCGACAGAGTAATGCGCAAACACGCCGCCATTGGAATAATATTAATGACATCTTCAATTATCTTAAAGGTACTGAGGATATGGGTTTATTCTATCCCTACACGTCATCAAGTGGATCAAGTCCGAATGATGCTTGAGATAACATGACCCTTGTTGGCTATGCTGATGCAGGTTACTTATCAGACCCGCATAAGGGAGATTCCCAATCTGGTTATGTCTTTACCATCGGGAACACGACGATATCATGGAGGTCTTGTAAACATAACCTAGTTGCTACTTCGACAAATCACCCTGAACTACTCGTGCTCTATGAGGTGACTAGAGAGTGTGTATGGCTTCGAGCTGTATTTGGCCATATTTGAAGTACATGTGATTTGGCTTATGATCCCAATGAACCACTTGCCATATATGAAGATAACACTGTTGTTATTGACCATGCAAAACATGGTTACATCAAAGGGGATAACACTAAACACATCTCGTCGAAATTGTTCTTTACACATGAACAACAAGCATTTCAAAAGATTGCAGTGCAACATATCGGACCAGAGAAGAATCATGCAGACTTGTTCACCAAGTCACTGCCGAAGTATTCTTTCCAAAAACATGTCAAAGCTATTGGACTTAGGAAGCTCTCTGAGCTACCTAAATGACATGTATCTTGCACCCAGTTGTGTGTAAATAAGACTTGCATCCTGACGTATGCTTTGCACCCCGTTGAGTGCATGTGAGGGGGAGCATCCTGATGAATGCTTGTATACTCTTTTTCCTTTCGCTCAAGGGTTTCGTCCCATGGGGTTTACCTTGACAAAAATTTTTAATGAGACACTAACTGTATCCCATTCTCACGTATAATTTTTAAAGTCAAGGGGAGTATCCAGTTGAAAACTTATTAACCATATTGCACTCTTTTGTCATTCGTTAGAGTTTTTGTCCCACTGGGTTTTCTCTAAACAAGGTTTTAATGAGGCAACATATATGGTTCCTTCCCTCGATTAAGACATCGAGATCGTACTCTTTTCTCCTTTGACCAGAGTTTTTGTCCCAAAAGGGTTTTCCTCGGCAATGTTTTTAATGAGGCGAACATTTAATGAATTGTCTGAAGATACAAGACGAAGAAGTACATGAATGATTCAACGTAAATCTAAGCAACCAAGGGGTAGTGTTGTAACTCATTTATGTTGGTAGTGATTGCTCATATTTATGTAATTCATAAGTAGCAATTATGTACTTCGAGGTTACAATCTTTGGTTCACTCACTCCTATATAAAGAGTTGCTATGTACTCTTGTATTATACATTCACATTGTCTAAAAAAATCTTTGCATGATCATTAAATTGAACTAATTTGGCTTAGATAGTTATCTTATTATTTTTTCACATAGTTATCTTATTAATCAATAATTAATTTTTCAACTATCGATCAATCAACTAGCTATTTAGTTCCAAAAAAATGTCCTGATTTTATTGTTTATCATTTCACACCTAAACCAATATCGATAACATGATTAACATCTAGCAGGAGTCAAATACAACGCCTTTTTCTTTTTCCAGGGAGTGTAGTATACCTAACCAGAAAATTATCACTAAAACCATGGATATTCATTCATCGATTTAAGGATGTCCATATGATATGATAAACGGTTTCAGTCATGTAACATTTTATCGATTATATTCTAGAAAGACGTATAAATATGTGTCAACATTGCTAATGAATAGAAACTTTTAGACCAATTCTCTACCTATTCATTTTGTTTTGTTGTATACAAACAAATTATGCCGGCCGAAGCTCTTAGGAATGAAAGTCTCATTTGCTTTGTGTTTATTGTTCGTGCTTCACATCGCCATTAATCTCCGATCCCACCACACCTCGTCACTATCACTTTCCACTGTTTCTTGATTCCTCCAATAATCACACAACTAAAAAAAATTCATCGACTTTTCTACAAATTCCTCATTCAAAATATGTACCCAAACTCCATCCTCGACGAAACCCAATTCCTAGAATATAATCCCTTGGAAGGGTATGATTATGAACAGGTGGACAATCAGTTTCCGGCGCCGGAAATAGAGAACCAGGCAGTCGACGAAGAACTCCTTCCGTTGGAAGACGTAAGCAACACCATCAATCAGTTCGATGCGCGGCGATTGTCAGTCCAGGTTCAAGATTTGGATAACCATGATCAGGCACCGTTCTTGAAACTGGAATTCGACCAATTAACGAAGGGAGTTTCAAATTCAAAGTTAAAGTCAAAATCAGCGTACCCAGATCTGAATTCTCCGGCGTCCCTACAGCTCCTGAGTTGTTCCCGGAGCAAATTTAAGCGTTTACCGGACGAAACTGTACCGGATTGTGCCGGGAAACTGTCGACGGTGGAAATCATCGAACTCGCAGCGGAGAAGTTTATAAAGTTTTCAACTCAACAGGTCAATGGGTACACCATGTTCACTCATCCGTACGGGTCGTCGGCGTTCACGAGCTTATCGATAGACGAGACCAGAGAGGTGGAGCTTGTTTTCCAGCTTTTGACTGCCGCCGAGAATGTTAGCCGGAAACAGTTTGATGTTGCCAGCAAATTCATAGCACGGTGTGGGTGGGTGGCGTGCGACAGCGGCTCTCCGGTTGAACGGCTGGTATCACTTATGTGATGCATTACAGAAAAGAATCGGAAAAGAAATTGGTATACCCTTTGCTACGAAACTAGAAAAACAGGTGAATCATACTACTATTCATACAAATGTCAAATTTAAAATAATAATAATAATAATTCTATTTTAATTAGTTTGGTTTCACAAAAAAAAAAAAAAAAAAAAAAAAAAAACGAACAGTTCTTACTTACCCTAGTTTCGAAGATTTTTTAGGCTTTTGGACAATTTTCTAAAAATTAAGATAAAATATATAAAGTTTGATATGATTTGTCATCCATATAATTTTTACTTGTTAGAAAAATGCAAAAAATTTTAAAAAAAATCCAATAAAATACTTTTTTTTTAACAACATTTTCTAAATTTAACAATTTTTTCTAACAAAACAAAGACACCGCATAACGGTCAAAAAAGAAAAATGTGTTAAAGTTAGCTGCTTTAATCGGGAAAAAAAAATGATATTTTCATGGTTACCCGCTAAATTGACAAATACGAGTGGTTTTTAGAAGAAAATCAAATGGCGTGCTTGAACCGAATTTGACCAAACTACAATGATTTTTTTATTACTTGCCCTAAGAATAATGTAAACATTTAATTATGGACGAGTTTATGATTTTTTTTATTCGGTTTTTATTTGATTATCTCAATGTTACTTATTTTACTTTATAACAACAAAATATAACTCGAATGTACATTCTTCTTAATATACCAGTCTTAATTCATCATTTTGAAACATACGGTCTCTTGTGAGACAATTTTTTTGTGACATCTATCGCTAGTACTTCATCATCTGTCTCACGTGTTTGGGTAAATAAAGTACTGAAAATTTTAACTTTTGATGTCAAACTTATTACATGTAGTGTCTAAAGAATGAAAATCCTATGGCAATAGGAACCAATATGACATTCTTGGCCCTTTATCAAGCCCTTCCGTTCAATCAAGTGTTGCATTTCACAGGCATACAATCAAATCATCGATCAAGTTGGGACATCAAAGCAAGTGCATTTGATCGACATCCACATTAGGAGCGGTGTACAATGGACATCTATGATGCAAGCATTAGCAAACCAAAGTTCACAAATTGAGCTTTTGAAACTTACTGCCTTTGCAACATGTAACGCCCGTGTTTCGAGGCTAGGCATTAATACTGACATAATGGTCTAGGTTAACCTTTGTAACTCATTTTGAAGAAATGAAAGGGAATTATGTGAATTTTATGTGAATTATGTGTTTCATGCTTAATTATTAGGGTTTAATTAATTAAGAATAAAAACGAGCGTCAAAATTAAATATTAGATAAAGCCGATATCTATTAAGAAACTTGTAGTGGGCGTGACAAGGATTACGGATATATAAAGAATACAGAAATCCAAGTTATAACGAATAAGTTATGACATGTCGAAGTTTCGCGACAAAACCGGCACGGGGCCGAATGTCGTAAAAAGTGAGTTTTTGATAAACTACTTTTTAGCCTTAGTGATCTAAATGAAACTCGTAGTGTTCGTTAAACCGAGAGTATGTATAAAAAGAACGCCCAAATCTGACTTCGTATGAGGAAGTTATGATTTTTCGAAGTTTCAGCTTAGCAGTAGACAGCTAAAAACTCGAAGTTTAGATCGAGTGATTTTTAGCCGACACAACCTAAACGAGAATCGAATGTCTCGTAAATAGTAGCACAACGGTAAAAAGTCTGACGAAACGGACGTCGGATGAAGAAGTTATGAATTTTTAACGGATTTCCTGTCCCGGTCTGTTAAAAATAATAATTTAAAAATTAAAGTCCAAATTAGCCGACGAAGTCTAAACGAAAGTTGTAGAGCGTAATTTTACCTACGCGTGCATATAAAGAACGTCAAAAACGGAGCTCGTTTTCGAAAGTTATGGATTTTAGAAGTTTTGGCGCGAAAATCGAGGAATAATGCCAAAACCGAGAATTTTCGCACACGTGGACTTCGGCCACGTGTCCTCGCTTCGCAATCCAACGCGTGTCCAGAACCTGCTGAGTCACCGAAGCCACCTGGTGAGGCGTGTCATGCTCTTCGCGAGTCCGAGGTTCGGTCCAGTAGAAGTGCGACGCGTGCCTCTTCCCTCGTGCGTCCGAACCCTCGCAGGTGCCACGAACCATCCCTACTTCGGACTAGACCGCGGTCCACTAAGGAGCTGCCAGCAGCCACTTCGCATGCGCAGCCCATGTGCGAGCCCTCCCTGCGAGCCCTCGGATCTGCGACGCGTGGCTCCTTCTCAACCATCGGATCAGGAGGATCGGCCCTATAAATAGGAGGGTGCGAGACCTCCCGGGTATACTTTGAAAATTTGTCATTTTTAGCCCTTTTTTCAATATTTCTTTCATTTCAACATCCCCCGAAGCCCCGGTACTTATTCCAAAGCCCGGAATACGCCACGAAGTGCCCGAGAAGCCCGGAAAATTTATCTTTTCGGTTTTGAAGCCCGACCCTTCGCAGAGCCCGGTTTCTCAATAAAACTCCCGGTTTTATTAGAAACGATCGTTTTAAGAAACGAATTGCTGCCCGATTTTCATTAAATCAGGTGAGTGTATAGTCACTTTCACCTTACACATAGATATGAAGTATTTACCTTAAAATACGTGCTATGTGTAAATATATTAATTGTTTATTTGAGGTGACTGTTGAATTGATGTTTTATACAAGTTTTAAACTGTATATATATATATATATATATATATATATATATATATTTATCTACAAATATGTTGGGTAAAACATGGGTAGATGAATTAGATGATGTGTGATGAAATAAAAGTGATGAGAAGTATCGATGTTTAAGATGATCTAGTCATCTAGCAGAGTATAGACAACGGCCACAGACTATTTTAGATAGCCCAGTGGAACGTTAGTAGACTTGTAATCGGTACGTATGTTTGAACTATATGTTCATTAGGTATTTTTGAACTATGTGTTCATCCATTAGTTCTTCCTTTTGACACTATTACGTGTCGGGGTACGGGAGCGTACGGGAGTACTTTATCAGTATTTTCCCTATACTTTTATTTGGAAGAGCTTTGGAGTCTTTGTTCTTTTATGAAGTGATCGGACTAGCTTCATGAGTTAGTGATATAGATCATGAGTTAAATAGTGGGTGTGTGATGAAAGGTGAGTTGGATAGATGAGATGATCAGTGATATAGATCATGAGTTGAAAGTGAGTGGTGAAATATGGGAAAAGCTTTTACCCAAATGTTGGCGTGAGTGGTGCAATATGAGAAAAGTCCTTACCCAACGTTGACCCCCGTCATTCAGCAGAGTAGGGATGACAACCATGGACTGTTCTAGACGGTCTGTGGAACACTAGCAGGCTCGCAACCTGTAGGTGTTAATGGACTTGAGTGTTCATTCGCTGTACTCTAAGACCCCCGTCATTTAGCAGAGTATGGATGACAACCATGGACTGTTTTGACGGTCTGTGGAACACTAGCAGGCTCGTAACCTGTAGGTGTTAATGGACTTAAGTGTTCATTCGTTGTACTCTATTCCCCTCATGAGTGCCCTTAGGGCAAGTAAGGCTGGGGAAAACCCCTTAAGTATGTTCATCAGCTATATGAAAACCCCATTGACATGTATTGCGGGGGGGGGGGGGGGGGGGAATTCCCGTGGGAAATATCGTCAATGAATAAGAGCTATGGACTTAGTATATGGAAAACCCATTGACATGTATTGCGGGGGGAAACTCCCGTGGGAAATACCGTCGATGAATAAGAGCTATGGACTAGCACATGGCGACGATGTGAATTCGTGCCTATTTGACATAAATTGCTGAAGGAAAGCAATGTTGTCACCTTGTTGGTTGTTTTATGTTAGGATGTCTTGTTTGACATAACTTGCTGAGGGAAAGCAATGTTGTCACCCCGATGTTTGTTTTATTTGACATAACTTGCTGAGGAACCCCCAAAGCAATGTTGTCACCCCTAGTGATAATCCTTAGGCTAGGTCCCTTATGATAGTTGTTTTAGGGACGTAAAGTGAGGATAATGGGAATGGGTAATTAGGGTTATTTTGGTTGATGGAATTACTAAATTTATTGTTGATTGAGAACTTAATAAGTTTATTATTTATTGTGGGTTGAAAACCCTATATTCTCACCAGGCTCCCAAGCCTGACCCACTCAGTTTAATTGTATCACAGGTATCGATACGAAGTTGCTTTACACTGACAGATTAAAAGAGAAGTAGATCACTAGTGTAAATGAATGTAAGTTTTGTTTATGCTTATGTTTTTGTATTGACAATGACATCCCAATGGTTTAAGTGAGTAAAATACATTTCTTCGGAAATGATTTGATAACATATTTATTATGTTTTTCTGGGAACAAATTCCGCAACACTTTTAATCAAATGATTACTCTGAAATTATTTTAAAAGCATAAATTAAATCGGTCTTTTCTGGCCGTGAAATTGGGGATGTCACACAACAACCTCAGATGTCCAAGAAGTCGGGGAAACCGGAAAAAGATTGGAGAGTTTTGCAACAACTTTGAGTTTGCCCTTCTCATTTAAAATGTTGGTGCTATCATACATCACCGAGGTGGAAAAGAAGCAATTTGAGGTCCAAGATGGGGAAGTAATCGCAGTCTATTGTCATATGATTCTAAGAACAATGATTTTGAAGCCCCAAAGGTTGGAAAATATGATGAGAGCTATCAAAACGATCAACCCATCGATTGTTGTTATAGCTGAGGTTGAAGCCAACCATACTTCAACTTCTTTTGTGAAGCGGTTTACAGAGACGTTATTCTTTAATGTGCTTATTTTGATTGCTTGGAAGCATGTATGAGTGGAGATAATGTTCATCGATCCATGATGGAAGGTGTTCATTTTGCTGATGGGATACAAAACATAGTGGCGTCCGAGGGGGACAAGCGGATGAGTAGGAGTGTGAATATGGATACATGGAAATCGTTTTTTGCAAGGTTTGGGATGGTGGAGATTGAGTTAAGTGATTCGTGTCTTTATCAGGCACAACTTGTGTTGCTACGGTTTTCATGTGCAAATTATTGCATGCTTGAGAATAATGGCAAGTGTTTAATTATTGGGTGGAAAGGAACTCCATTGCATTCTCTTTCGACATGGAAGTTCATTTAATAATGATGGATTGTAATACTTTTGGTTTCTTAAGCCTATAACTATTTTAGGGACATTTAGACGGTAGAACAATGTTAATAAGATAAAATTTGTAATATTTTGTCCCCCATAAATATTAAACATGGTGAGACAATAATGAGTCTATCGTGTTTTTATTTGTTAATATAAAATAGGTGAATACCCTCATCATACTAACCAAACAAAACAATCCTTAAAAAAAATCTTGTCCAAACTATCCAGCAAACCATCGGCAACCTTCTATATTCTTAATATTTTTAATCCCTTTACATGATTGATTATTATGTCATGTACACCAACATGGACTTGCTGTAACATGTGATGAAACTATTTAAAGCCTTTAGTTAAGAGAGTTTGAAAAAACAATCTGTCTAATATTGAAATTACGAGAAATTAAAAATCCTCCTACATTTTATTCTTATTATCATCCTGCCTACATTAAATGGTGACAGGTGGACTAAAATATTATCAATTTCATTAAATGTATCATTAAATGTGACACATGTCAACATTTGATATGGTAGGAGGATAAATAAGAATAAAATGTAGGAGAATTTTAATTTCTTTGAAATTACTTACTTTCCAAGTGATTCCGGTTTAAAATGGACTTTGAATCTTGTACACCAATGTTCTTCCTCTTTATTCTTTGCAGTCACAATCAAATTTCTTCATGATATAAAACTTCCTCTTTTATTAAATAAGAGTTTAATAGGGTTTCTAGCCCAATGATATCAAGTGTTGCCATTTATTTTAACATCGAGGTTAAAGTCTCGACTGAGACATAGGTGAAATTAATAGCATTTTGGAAATAAATTAGATTTTTCGTTTCAAAATAATCAATTAAAAATATGCTATATGTTTGAAATTTTGAAAAAGTATACAGTTTTGCTTTTAAATAAGTAGTTAGCCGACTTTTCCAGTCATAAAAACGTTAGGAACTTGATTATGAATTTGAAGAAATACTATGATTTATTCTTACATTAATTATTTCAATTATTCCAAAGTATAAATAATAAATATAGTGTTATAAAATATGATCAAATAACAAGATAAATTATAAAGTAAAGAAAGACATGAGAGTGAAGAGATTTTCATTCCAATATTTGTGATGAAATCATCAACTTTCTAATACATATGGCTCACAAATTATACAACCGAAATAAGATGAAAGATGAATGCACACTATGATGGTGCACTATTACACTCATAAAACACATTGAAATAGTTGTTACTAATGCTAAATAATGATAGAGAGTTATGAGAGAAATATGGAATCCAATGGTCATTCACAAACTAATATTTCATAACACTCCCCCTTGAATGACGATTGTATCATGCCTCGTTAAAACCTTAATAGGTAAAACCTCATGGGAAAACCCCTTTATTAAGGAAAAAGAGTACATGATTAATAATAGATATTGGAAACAATTGCCTCGTTAAAAACCTTGCTAAGAAAACCCATTGGGAAAAACATAGCTAAGGAAAAGAGTACAATATGTTTCCAACTCCCCCTGATCAATACATCACTTGATTTCCTTGAAGCGCCGCATAGCAATGTTTCGTACCATCTTTTCAAATTTGGATGTAGGAAGTGCTTTAGTGAACAAATCGGGAACGTTGTTACTTGATTGAATTTTCTGGATATTGATGCCACACTCTTTTTGAAGATCATAAGTGAAAAAGAACTTAGGTGATATAAGCTTGGTTCTGTCTCCTTTGATAAATCTATCCTTGAATGGAGCTATACAAGTCGTATTATCTTCATATAGTATGGTTGGAACATCCCTGTTAGAAGTTAGACCACAATTATTGCGAATATGTTGAGTTAACTTTCTTAACCAAATACATTCATGACTTGCCTTCTGAATTGCTATAATCTCGGCATGGTTAGAATAAGCAGCAACTAAAGTTTGTTTAACATAATGTCAAGAAATTTTCTTACCTCCATAATTGAATAAATAACCTGTTTGACTTCGAGCTTTATGTGGATCAGATAAATATCCAGCATCTGCATAACCAATTAACTTCATATTTGATGAATTTGATTAGTATAAATTCATATCCACTGTACCTCGAAGATACCAAAGAATGTGTTTGACTCTATTCCAGTGTCTTCTTGTTGGACAAGAACTATATATTGTTAATAAGTTTACGACAAAAGATTTTTCAGGTCTTGTATTAATAGTAAGATATATTAGTGCACCAATAGCACTAAGATATGGTTCTTTGGGAACAAGAAGATTTTCATGTTTTTTCTGATGTTGAAATTGGTCCTTTTTTGGCATCTAAGTGCATTACCACCATCGGGTTACTCATGGATGTGAGTTATTCCTATAAAACATTTTAAGCACCTTTTCTAGATATTAATGTACAAAAACTCCATTTTTGTGTGCTTAATTTGAATACCCAAACAAAATTTCATTTTACCAAGATCATTCATTTCAAATATTTCTTTAAAAGAAGAAGTGGCCTTTTCCAATTCTCTAGGAGTTCCAATTATGTTCAAATCATCTACAATAACATCAATTATGACAAATTCTTATCCGAATCTTTTTATGAATACACATGTGCTTATTGGATCATTTTTGTGGCCCTCTTTAAACAAAATGGTATTTAAAAAATTGAACCACATATGGTCTTATTGTTTCAATCCATACAAAGATTTATTTAATTTTACCGAATATACTTTTCGAGAATTAGAAGTGTGTGCTTCCGGCACCTTAAACGCTTCTAGGATTTCATATAAATATCATTATCAAGTGAACCATATAAATAGGCAGTAACTACGTCCACCAGACGCATCTCCAGTTTTTCATGTGTTGCCAGACTTATTAGATAACAGAATGTAATTGCATCAACCACAGGAGAGTATGTTTCTTCATAATCAATTTTGGGCCTTTAGGTAAAACCTTGTGCAACAAGTCTTGCTTTATATCTCACAACTTCCTTTTTCTCGTTTCTTTTGCGCACAAATACCCATTTGTGTCCCACTAGTCTTACTTCGTTTGGTGTAAGGACTACAGGTCCAAAAAGTTTTCGTTGAGTAAGAGAATTAAGCTCTTTGTTGATTGCATCTTTCCATTTTGGCCAATCTTTTCTATTTCTACATTCCTTTATAGATTTAGGTTCAAGATCCCCATTTTCTTCCATAATCTCGCGCGCAACATGATATGAAAAATTATCGTCGACGTCTATCTTATTTCGGTCCCATCTTATTCCTGTCATGACATAATTTATTGAGATCTCATCATTTTCATTTTTTTCCGGCACCTTATTTTCTTTTGTTGTGTCATTGGGCTATTCTAGAGCTTCATTAATCTTTTCAAGAGATTTTGTTTTCTCTTTTGGACCATCAATTATATTTGCTCCCTTTCGTTTTTGATGATTTTTATCTGTGGAACCGGTTGGTCTTCCACACTTTAGGCGTGCCTTAGATTCGTTTGTAGTTGTATTTTTTTCCTTCTGGGATATCAATTCTAACTGGAGAATTTACAGTTGGTACATGAGACTTTGTTACTCTCTTAGGTTCAGTAAATGCATCTGGCAATTGATTTGCTGCATTTTGTAAATGAATTTTTTTTTATTTCAAGTTCACATTGACTTGAACGAGGATCTAAAACTGAAAGTGATAATTCCTTTCAAGAGATTTTATTTTCCAGCTTCTTTATTTCTCCCCCTAATGTTGGAAAATATGATTCATCAAAATAATAATCATCAAATATAGCTGTAAATAAACTCCAATTGATGGTTTTAAATATTTTACTATAGATGGAGATTCATATCCAACATAAATTTTCATTCTTCTTTAAGGTGGAGAAATGGGTACATAAATTGCACATCTAAACGTCCTTAGATGGAAATATTTGGTTCCTGACCGCAAACCAGTTGAATAGGGGAGAACTTATGATAACTAGTTGGTATTATGCGTATAAGTGATGTTGCATGTAAAATTGCATGCCCCATATCGGTGTAGGAAGTTTAGAATGCATTAGTAATGGTCTTGCAATTAATTAAAGGCATTTGATTAATGAATCAGTTAGATCATTTTATGTATGAACATGTGTAACAGGATGTTCAATCCAATCGACATGCAATAATCATTAATCGCTTGAAATGAAAATTTTGTAGCATTGTCAAGTTGAATTTTCTTAATTGGGTAATCGGGGAAATGTGCCCTTAGGCTGATTATTTATGCAAGTGATCTTACAAAAACCAAATTACAACTAGACAACAAGCACACATGTGACCATCTAGTTGACTCATCAATTAAAACCATAAAATATCTAAATGGTCCACATGGTGGTTGAATTGGTCCACATATATTCGTTTGAATTATTTCTAAAAATTACGACTTTCATACCCAACTTTGTTCAATGATGGATGAGAAATTAATTTTCCTTGAGAGCATGCAGCACAAGAGAATTCATTAGCTTGAAAAATCTTTTGGTTTTTCAAGGAATGACCACTTGAAGTTTCAATTTTTTTTGCGCATCATAATTGATCCGGGGTGGGCCAACCGGTCATGTCAAACTTTGAAGGTGTTATCATACCTTTTACTTTCAATAGCATGAAATTCAATCATTCTAATATTTGTATAATACAATCCGGAGGACAATACAAGTAAATTTTTCCAAAAGACTTTTCTTACCCGATATCATTTTCGTAATATTGAGATACTCTTTATCACCATCATTAGTTATTTCAACATAATATCCGTTGGACTGAATATCCTTAAAACTTGATAAATTTCTTGGTGATTTTGATGAAAATAATGCATCACCAATTGTAATTATTGTCCATTGTGGTAATATTATATTCGCTCTTTCTCATTTGTTTTGCGAATATCCATATTTCTCTTCAATAAATAAATAAAACATAAGAAACATTCGACTTAGAGAAATAAAGTCATATTTTATTACTTTGAGATTGTGATGACATCATTTCTCATGAAATGAATATGACATAAAACCATAATAAATGAC